CAAATGCACAAGAAAAGTCGATATGGTGTGGTGCAATTTATCATCTATCACTACAAGGAGATACTGCCCTTATTAGTGGAAAACAAAGGAGAGGAAGAATGATAGAGTACTAAATAAGGGATCTCAAGTCAGTTAGCTGTAAAGCATTTCGTCCAAAACCAGCAACAATGTGGGTCAAATGTTTGCCTCAGTTCAGTCCCAGATATGTCTGCGGATATTGAATTAATGACTTTGTGGAAGCTTGAAGCAGGATCTAGGCTACACAAAACACAGTGCGCAATAAAACTTTGAATTAGTAGTTTCATTTGTATCCGGCAAAAAATTGCCATAGGTTAATAATTTAAGCTTATGACTTTGCACACAGGCATTTCTTGTGCAAAATTTTAAGCTTGTATGTCTTTGATGCCTAAATTATAACTTGGATTTGAATTCTGAGTGATGATTGAAAGGTAGTGCGGCCTAAAATTTTACTTTAGATTTTTAACTTGGCATATGGTTGCGGACGCTGCTTCCAGTACTTTTAAAATGCAACTTTATTGGCCTCAAAAACAGAATTCCTCAAATTTGGTGCTAAAGAAAAAGGCTAAGAGATAGGAAGAGTGATTTTGGTGAACTGGAACATAGCCCCAGGCTTCATTTACAAAGTTTCATCTTCCTAGTTTTCATATTTCCAGGACTGAAATATGTGGTGAGACAGGCAGACAGACAAGTAAGCACCTCTGTTACCGTCTAAATGCCTTTTGTATCAAAGAAACTATGCGAAAATGCTTAAAAGTGTATAACTGGAGCGTACCAGCTATATAGTAGAGGACAAATCCCTTATTTGTGATGCTGATATCGGATTCAAAATAGACTGTCATCAATTCGGAGGTGCTTTGCAATAAATCCGTGAAAATTTCTATTCCACTTGCGCTATAAATAAATTACTATTATTCAAAATTATCATCAAAATCAGAACATCTACAAATTATATATTCACTTAGACGTAAAAACAAACACAGCTTGCGAGCAGCAAGACCTGGAAACATCAGTACAGCCTCCAACTCGCTGAAAAATTTTTTTCAGCAGTAAAGGAATCATTGGTATGTTGACACATTGAGTTAGTAATGACAAAAAGTTAATGATTTTCCTACTAACTGTGTTAGAAATACTTCGAACTCTAGATATATTCAATGCCCAAAAAAAAAGAAGACGAAAACAAACAGCCGTATTCGTTGATCTGTGATATTGGAGCCATCGAAAATAGCAAGAACATCTTCGTTTGGTTCAAGAAACAGTTCTGTAATATTCACGGCCACATGGTACCCAGGCGGTGCGGTGATCAAATACTGGCACTGCATGGAATTGCAGTAATTGTTCGGATAATCCGGTGATGTAAGTTGCTTCCAAACGCCTTCCTCTGCTTGCAACTCCAATTCGCCACACTGGCAAACTTAAACAGTTGTCCCTTCTTAAGTTCTATTCAGTTCGTACTATTTCTTCGTTAATTTTCAATGAAAAACTGTTTTGAAAAGAACAATGGCAGAAGTTTCGAAGTTTTCTTCCAGATTTTTCTTTTACTTCGTTGATGGGGTTTTTTTCCTTGGCTTTTTTTATCTAAATAATTTTAAATTTTTTATCTAACAAGTATAAGGGATATCGCAGTGATCAAAGATTTAGGGCTCTCCTGTCAAGATATTACGTTTGCTTTGCCAACAACGACCATGGACGTCGCGAAAAGACGGTCATTCAAATTTACACAAGTAGGCAGCGTGCATGCAGGCAAAAATCAATAATTCCTCAGTTTATTTGCTCTTCATGAGAAGCGGGAAGTAGCCTAGCCTGGGTGATAGCAAATGCCAACAGTAACCAATGGCAGGAAAGAGTACGTTGGCTCCTTTTTTTGAGAGTTGTTTTGAATGAAAGCTGGCGGCGGGGTTGACTCGTTGCCATACGCCAGTACCAATTTACCATCGAAACAGATGAATGAATCGTACAGGTTTGATTTTTTATGCACTCGTTATACGTACGGATGCACTACATTACGTGCGCAGGCGTGACGACTCAAGTTTATTTTCTACTTATATTATAGAGCAGAAGGGTTTGGTAAAGCTGCGCATTCATGTGCATGAGGACTAACCACTACGATATCCAACTGCCAGTTCAGGTGATTTTGATGTTTTCAGTGGTTTGGCACTATATGTAGCAATTATTTACCTGGGACCGGCACCGTATTTCCTTGAGATCTACACCATCCTAAACTGCATTTTTGCGCGTGTGTCAGAAGATTCGGTGTTGCTGCTTGGGCAAACAATTTAAGTCAGTGGCAGCATTTTAAACACCTAATTTTTTTCGTTGTACTGGATCAAAACACTTACTTGGCTTCCAGGAATAATTGAATTTGAACTCGGCAGCCTGTCGATTAATGTCTGACGCTAAATGGTACCAAACCACCATCGGTGTGTCGTTCATAATCTCCTCGCTGCCACTCTCAGATAGCGTAGGATCAAAGCTAAAAAGAAAAAATTTCTTACAGAAACTGATTAAGACTAAAGGCACTTATAACCCAAGCGATTGCTTCCTTTTTTTGCGCATTCCTGTGTTTGAATTGCACTGTATCAATGCGAAAAATACTTACCCATCTTCCACAGAGTTTACGTAAATTGAAGATGCTGATTAAAATGCGAATTGAGGACTTTGGGGTAAGGCAAAAGCATAAGCAGACATTTGCAGAAGAACAAACTTATAAAAACTTAGTTACAATTTTCTTCCACATATTAAGCAAACTTCAGCAGCAAAAGATTACTAACACAACTGTGCTACTGTGTTTTCAAATAAATCGATGTGAATTCTTTTATGTTATTGGGGTCTAGTAGGGTGGCGATATGTTCTGCGAAGTGCAGCTATATTCTGGCCTACTTGTTTTGAGAAGCGCTCTTCCATATATTCAGACAGAAGAGGTAATGTCTACAAAATTGTACTATTACTGAAAAGTCAAAAGCCACAACATCCTCTGTACTTGCTCTCTATAAAAGGCGGACGCACCCGAGAAGTAGTGCAAATGAAAGCAAATGCCAACAGAACTACTCAATGGCACTCTCTTTCGAAGGTGGCTTAAAAGCAAGCTGATGACGGGTTCGATCTTCCGTCATATGCCAGTACCAATTTACCATCAAAACAAATCATCGGGATCCCAAAAGGCGAAGCAACTGCGCGTGTTCTTACCTCTAGCTGTGTTAAACGTACATGACATCAAATGAAGCATTCTGATACTGCGAAAGTTGAAAGCAATGAAAGTCAAAAAATAGCTTAACTTGCAGTAAAAAAATCAACGCACAAGAACTTTGCTGAAAGTAATAAAAAAGGCATCTCAGCATAAATCCGTTATCGAAAAATGTTACTGCCCCCTCAGAAAATCCTGTCAAGTCAGCGTTTCCGGTAAAGCCGAAGCAGCTGACTCACTCCCGAAGATTTCTTTAGCTTACACGGTGATGTCACGGTCGTTAATATGTGACGGGATGATGTTGTAATTGTTTATGTTCGTCAGCATCTCCAGGAATTCTTCATCGCCATTTTTGAATTTGTATGTTATGTTCAGCACCAATCGTATACGATCGGTATGCGATGCCTGCAACATCCATCCACCAATCGGCAGTTAACTCTTAGAGAAGAGATAGCCACGCAAACAAGCTGCAACCGCTGATAGCATGCTTCGGTTTCTTCCGAGTAATACGTCAGAAGGGTTTTTTTTCAAAAATTGGAAGAAATTTCGGAAAAATGGATACAAAAATTACAGTAGCTGGTCGATTGAACTGGAAAAAACAATCCAGAAAACTGCAATTTGCGGGTGCAACAAATGAGAATTCACCCGATATTGTTGAAAATTCTAGCGGTTGTGCTTCGCCCTTGCATTTACAGTCTGAAAGTACAAAAACCTCTAACGAAAGAAATGTTTGATGCTGAACAAGAAACTTCTCATTACAACTAGTTACATGACTTAAAAATAAGGAAGGAAAGGAGATTAAAGAAGGGAGTTAAGGAATCATAAGAAAGGGAAATAAGGAAGGGAGTTAAGGAAACATGAAAACTAAGAGGTGAGACGTTCCAATCCACTAAGTCGCAAATGTTTCAGCCCAGCACCTCAACTAGGACGAGACAATTTTAAGCTAAGCCTTCACTATTTCTTGTACCTAAGAGAATACGCCTTATGGTCACAATATGTTAATATTGTCGTAGTGAGATCAAGCAAGCTTTCTCACAAAAAAAAGTCAAGCAGGAGGTTAGCTTAGCTGAGTTATGAGACGTAGAAATACGCAAACGCTGACTATAAATTAGGGTAAGTATCATATTGGTAAGTACTAGGAAACGACAAAGATTCTTTCGAGGTGCCAGTTTTAAGCAGCGATCTTGCGCTCTTTTTATATGCTGGATGGATAAGCTCTTTCTACTGGAAGCTAGCAGTAGTGGGTACGTAGAAAAAAAAAATTTGATGCGTGAAACGAACTGAGAAGGCTTACCGTCACTTTTCTGGATGGCACTGAT